TACCACTACAACCTCACCGACGACCACAACCACATCTCCTACCACAACGGTTCAGACAACCAACACTACTGCAGCACCCACAACGACAACTACTGTGCCAACAACGACTACCACTACAACCTCACCGACGACCACAACCACATCTCCTACCACAACGGTTCAGACAACCAACACTACTGCAGCACCCACAACGACAACTACTGTCCCAACAACCAGTACCACTACAACCTTGCCGACGACCACAACAACATTATCTACGTCTACTACAACGGTTACGATACCAACTACTACAGGTACATATCTATCTTTGTGAAAGACATTGTACATGCCACACACTAGACAAGCTAACATGCCTTTAAGAATGATTGAATTTCTGATGTTTTTTGATTTCGGATGTGACGATTTGTGAATCACCATTCTCAGCATCTGGAGAACTGACATAACTGGCGTTTGTGCGAAAATTGTCAATTTGAAGCTAGAGTGTTCAAAACTTGTAGGAGGGCGGGCAGCGGAATGCGAACTGCTATGGCGAGTTGCACGGCCGGACTCCGCCCGCAGGAGGCGGGGTTTGTGAAGTTTGTGGCTTGATGTGTGGAAACGTAGGTCTGGCTGGTTTACCGGAGAAACCCCAGATACAAAATTATGAACCTCCTCAGAGGAAGTGTTAATATAGGCTTCGACAGCCCCTATGGTGAACAGTCATATTATGCAATATATCCCTTCGAAGGAAAAGTTCTGTTCGTCGGAAAATTATCCACAGCTTTGCTGGGGTCATCAAAACTGACCACTTTTTCCTGGCCAGGAGAGTGAGGTGCTTGAAAAGTTAAAGTCAGGTGGTGCGAGTTCAGGGTAATAGGAATGGTGGAGTTCGGTACACTAGTTAGAATCCTGTCACCCAGACTACGTTGCCTTTGCGACGTATATTCAGAGGGAGAAAGTCGTATCAGAACATCATATTTGAGTTCCAAGGCAGCACAGCAAAACTTTGTTCTAAGTTCTCGTTTTCCTGGACTGGGCTGCACAAGGTGACCCTCTTCCTTGGAAGCTAGACAGCGACCCGCTTTGAGGACCTCGGAGAATCCCTCTTATATTTTCTCACCTTTCCATATCTTTTTATTGGGTTGACGCATAGTTATTGCGGATTTTTTTCTTCCAATAAATCGTATTTGAAAGAACGTTGAAACTTCTTAACAAAGACATGTTTAGATAATTATTGCGGAGCACAGTCATTATCTATGTAAGCACTACTTCCCTTTTGCAGTTAGTTGATTCCACGGGCAAATACGTTTTAATTGGAAGTTATCCACCCTTTGACATCGACCATCAAGTCATCCGATTTGCCGCTAGTTCTGCCCGTTGGTCACTTCTTCAGCAAACGATTGACATGATAGCCCAGAGGATTTCTTGTCGGTGAATATGGCGGATGTGCGAGCAGATCCCATTCCTTTTTAGCTTTGACTGATTGTTCTATCCCAGATAGTTGATATCGCCTGATTGTTCTATCCCGAGTTGATATCCCGAAATGACCCTGCCACATTTCAACCTTCTTCGTAGTAAGTAGTAGAGCATGACGTGGCGGAGATGCAAGAGGATTTTGTAGGCACACTTTTTTGTGGGAAGCGAGAATAGTTATACTGCGGAAATCCCAAATTGAAGTTCAAGATTGCATCGAGACAGAGAGAAAAATCCACATGTTCATCAATCTAATAAACCCTTTCTTTTCTGAAAAAGAGGAGGCGACTGTCCGACAGAGACGCGTGTGTGGCAGAGATCGTCAGCCATTTGGTGAGGAACCCATCGAAAAAAAAAGATTTTTACTATTTTCTATGCGAAAGTGTCATGATGCGCCGCTCAATAATACGCTGGACTTCATCCATAGCTACTGGTCGTAGAGCGTTTCATCTCGAGACAGAATGGGAGCGAATGAAGGTCTAGCCTTACAAGGTTGACAAGGTCTCTCCCCAGATGTAGTGTTTATAATTATTACAGGTTGACCTCGAAATTTGCGATATGGTTCACGAGAGCCCTTTGACCTTTAAATATGTATACCTGCGGCAAGTCCGAGATTGCTCTAGAAAGGCACGAATGCAACGAAGTTTCTTGTAAAGAGACGAGGGTATATGTAAATTTGTTCACTGATTCTTTTGATTAAAATGCTGACCTATTGGAAAGTTCTGTGGTGTTCTCAGCACGAACGGGTATCAATGCAAATGTTGCTCTTTCCTCTTCAATCTTTTGTGTTTTTTATTTGTGTGCTAGCAGTCGCTCCCGTAGAACATCGTGAACCTCATCACTGTTCGGAACAGCTCAGGAGCACTATCTGTCGCAGAGAACACCAGTGGACTCCCCCACATTATCCACGCCGCGATTATTTGTGGTTACCATCGGCGGTCGGTCACTCCCGAATGGGTTCAGATTTGGCCCTTAGTATAGCTTAACCCTAACAATAAGAGCTGTCGCGGAAGACGGCCAGTAGTGTTCTCCAGTCCCAGGAAAGCTAGGTAGCAGGGTTTGCGCTTTCCGCGCTACTTCCGCATCACTTTTCAATGATAGCTATTGGGATGTTATTCGTTGTAGACCTTTCTGGCATTGCCGGAGCCGAACTGCTCGTTTGAAGCACTACATATAAGTGTTAACAAATTGAAGAATGTTTTGAGGACCTGAATGAGTTCCTTCTTTCTTGAGACGGTTAAGCGCTCGCATAATCTTATAGTCAGCCGTCAACCTTATCCTCGATTAGGTGAAACACTCTATCACGTCTTCCTTTTGCTTGAAAATGGGAACCTTAGCACTGTTTCTTCGCATCTGGAATCATCCCACTTACTGGTTATTGTCCAGGAATCGGGCGAGCCACCCAATCACTCAGAGCGTCTTCCATGGCTCGGTGGGTACCGCATGCGAGCCTGTTGCGCTCGCAGTCTTCACCGTCCGCAATACTTTTTGCACGTCCTCTTTCCAGATAGCGATGTGGGCAGCCGTTGCGATATCTACATAGGAGCTGTAGTCGCGGCGGAGAGTTTTCTGTTCAAGAGTATATAGAAACGTTCCTCCCACACGGCAAGATGACTTTTACAGCGTTGCTCCAGGTCTGTTCGATCTTTTCTTCAGAATCTGAGAGACTACCATCCCGTATGTTCCACTTGTGCTCTTTATTCTTCTGGAATCACCTCCAACCACTGGACCCTCCTTCCCGTTTTTGTCTTTGATTTGCAACATAACAACGACTGCCAGCGTGGGGCAAGCTGTTATAGAAGTATGATGCGGAATTATGACAANAGAGTATATAGAAACGTTCCTCCCACACGGCAAGATGACTTTTACAGCGTTGCTCCAGGTCTGTTCGATCTTTTCTTCAGACTCTGAGAGACTACCATCCAGTATGTTCCACTTATGCTCCTTATTCTTTTGGAATCAGCTCCAACCACCGGACCCTCCTTCCCGTTTTTGTCTTTGATTTGCAACATAACAACGACTGCCAGCGTGGGGCAAGCTGTTATAGAAGTATGATGCGGAATTATGACAATGAAAAATGGCAACTGAAGGATACAGCGGTTTTGAGAGCGTACAAATTTGTCTTTCTCTTCAGACAAAGGCAAACAGCAGTTCTAAGACCAAGAAGAAGTAAGATCGAGGGCATGTTAAAAAGTGTCTCAATCTTCAGAAGAGGTTACTTGCTTGTAGATTTTTGTATCATCAGCAAAGGCCACACTCTTAATTTCCCAGGATGCGATTGAATCGGGCAATTCATGCACGTAAATATTGAAAAGTACGGGAAAACACCTCATTGGATGCTCCACTCAATACGGATCGAGGTCTGGAGAAGCTTGAATTAAGACAAACCATGAACCAGATCAGAAGGGAAAGCTTTTATCCAAGAAATAATGCGAGGATGTGTGCCCACAGCCACAGGCTTATTCAACAGTTTCCCATGAGGCACACGGTCGAACGCTTTGGAGAAATCGAGATAGAGCATCTATACACGTCCATCTGTCTGAGTAGGAAGTCAGATCTTTGTAGAAATCATAGCAATAACCGTCGAATTTCCTTTCTGGGATCCATGTAGGCTGGGAGACTGATGCAATGAGCGTGCGAGTGAGCCCCAATTCTCTTTTCCAAAATCTTTTCAAAAAGTCGGGCAGATATTGATGTAATACTTATTGGTCGATAGTCGCTTGGAGACCATTTGAGGGAGTTTTTTAAAGACAGGAGTAACAAGCGACAGCTTCCACATTGCAGGGACTTCAGATCGCATGAAACTAATGGTAAGATTGAACAAATGCGGCCTAGCGATAACATGAGCGCCACCTTTAATGAAAGGAAGAAGTATGTAATCAACTGTGATTAAATGGGATGAAGGCCAATTATGAAGCAGATCATAGATTTCACTGCGTTGAACCAAACTGAATCGGGCATAATAGGAACTTGCGAAAACATGACAATGCAGAATCCGGATAAGCCGAATTGTTACTTTGAACGAATGACTTTCAAAAACATTTGCGATGACTTTAACTTTACTTTAATCTGTAACAGCAACGGTGAAGTCCATGGCAACCAGTTTGGGATAGCAGCCTTGGATTTCCATCTTGAACTGAGGAGGCTAAAGAACGCGCTTTCATCACGACTTTGAATTACGTTCAATTCGATGCTTTTGTTATTTTTCCAAAGCTTCTTTGTAAAACGACTACTAATTATATGGTATGTAGCCCAGTCCACCATGGTATGTAGCCCACTTCACCGCTTTACCTGTAGTTGTGGCTTGCCAGAAGCGACCGCTCTTCTGATGGAAAGAAAGTAAAGAAAGAAAGGAAGATAAGATTTATGCGCTGAAACCTTAGTGAGACGAACGAACATGTCAATAGCGTGATGCAAAGTTGCGAGTAGTAGTTCACATTTCCATCGTCAGTACATGCAACATCAAGCAAATCCAACCAGTCTACTCCAGCCGAATAGGAACAAATGAAATCATAACTTGCGTCTTTAAAATTTGAAAATTAAAAATTACGTTTTGACACCAAGATCGAAAGCGGGGTAGTAATACTGACCGAAAAGATGAGAGAGCAGTGATCACCGGAGCCAACAGGGGGGTCAATCTTTAGGTCACGGATCAAGGATTCATCATGACACAGAATAAGGTCAAGTATATGAGTACTCGAGCACCTTTTCTCACCAACTGGTGCAGGAAATGAGAATAGCACATATCCAAGAAGGAGTTTGGAATTAGAGGACGCGGCAACGGGAGTATCAGACCAGGTAATGTCTGGCAAATTGAAGTAACCACAGATAAGACAATCACAGTCTGGCGATTTGTGGGCAAAATTCCAGTCTCGAACGGGACTCGAACCCGTACTTGTCCTTTCCGGGGACCGTGCTCTTATCCCNGGGATAAGAGCACGGTCCCCGGAAAGGACAAGTACGGGTTCGAGTCCCGTCCGAGGCTGGAG